TGGGCAGAAGAGAACAGTGCCCCGGACCGATCTGGTGGGCTCCTGCAGGTGACTTAAATCCCTAAGTCGAGAGTTTTAATGGTTCACCCAAGTTCAGCCCTCTCTTAAGGTCCGCCATTTGGTATGTAAACAATCGCTGTACTGCCTTACTGAAAACATTCAAAGGTATGGGTGTCACCTTTCGTGCTATCACAACAATTGTGATGTTCTAATCGCTTCGTGTTCACCTTACCATGACCGGGAGAGATGGTTCAAATGGTTAGAGCTCGAATTTACTGACCGGGAGGTCCGTGGTTCGGACCCGAACTCTGCCTCTCGACTTTCCCTGTCTAGGCTTGGGCAACCTGGCAGTATCCCAGCCCTCGTGCTTCCCTCAGGGGGCATGGCAGCTGGGCACATAAAGGGTGTTACAGCTGAACAGTAGCATGACCAACTTTTCGTTGGGAGCAGCGCCGATTTCTTAAAAGGAGGAGCACCATTGAACGCAAGATTACACCATTTTATATTCGCGAAACGACTTTACTACTGACTTATTGTTAGTAGGTTCGTAAGCGATCATGTATAGTCGGACAAAGCGAAACGAGGATAGTGATGGTCAAACTGAGTGATGTGATATTCGCGCCTTCATGGTTGGAGTCTATAAGATTTCTCCTTCAGGTAGTTAGGCACTCCCCAGGACAAGAATTGTAACCGGTCAAAGTGGTATTCTATCATTCCCGAATCGGACTGCCGGGTCGAAGATTATCTGTCACCGTATATCGGACTCATGACGACTCCATTTGGTGGTTTTCACGTGTCCGTGCACCGGACATCAGTTAGGCGATGGACACCATCGAACTGCCCGGAACCAAAGCAGTGACGCGAAAAAAGCCAAACATTGAAAGCAGATTATTGGGACAGCATTGGTCCCTCGCCATCATGAGAACTATGAGGAGGAATCGGGTAACTAGGTGGTTAATAACAGTAGTAATCGTTCACCCTCGAAGCGCCTAGCTGCCACGCCATATGAGTGTTGAGGTTTGTGCTCTCCCTTTCCCTCCTAAGAGTACGTTTGCAAGAAGACCGAGACTTCGGTCGGTCCCGTGAGTCTGCTGTGTGTACGTGGCATTACACTAGGGATAGAGTATGAACCGTAAAGCTCGTTTTAACGTACAAGTGAAGTGCCTCAAACCACATCTACCTAATCAAGTAGAACACACTTGCCGAGGTGAAAGAATGTGAACAGAAAAAAAACATAAGGTCATTATACTAATGAGGCCGAGCTGGTGGGCTATGGCGTGGACCGTTGAATGAGTCGATTGTCAACGTAAAATCGATGAAGCCGGTTGTAACAATTTCCAGCTCAATTCATATCAGTGGGGACAGGATAACCAACATGTTTGACATGGCAATTAAAACTGCCTGACTTGGGGAGAGAAGACAACCATACAAACAGTAAGATAATCAAACTTCGTCTCAAATAATGACACCAATATGAGTGAATTTCCTCGCACAGTTCAGTCTCCACGACAAAGGAAGCATTCAGGTGTGACTTGATACATTTACTTATTGTTTCAAGAGGAAGGGACGAGAGAGTGACAGGTGTGCCGTAAATTTAGTCGGGGTAGTGAGTACATTAACCTCACCAAGAGGCCATTTAGAAAAGGGATCAGTCCAATTGCGAGAGGGAGAGTGAAACTTAACAAGGGTCAGTTCAAGGGTTAACATGAACTAAAGGTTTTGTTTCGTAGTTTTCAAAACAATCAAGTCTGTGAAGCCGAAGCATTCAATAATTTAGAAACCGGTCTACATCTGTCTTCTACAGAGAGAAGTGTGTCAAAGCGAAGATGTAAGCTTTGGACTTCTTTTGGGTTTCGTTTTTTTTTTTCACATCTAATAAGAACCACAAGCTGCTGTGTGCGTACTCATTTACAGGTCGACTGCAAGCACGGAGTGTTTGACTTGTCTAAGAAAACGAGCTAACACAATGCTTTGTTGTCGAGAGATGGCCCAAGTGGCTAGAGCGCGAATTTACTGACCAAAAGGTCAGTGATTCGAACCCGACCTCTGCCTCTCGACTTCCCCTGTCTAGGCTTGGGCAACCTGGCAGTATCTCAGCCCTCGTGCTTCCTTCGAAAGGCATGGAAGTTAGGCACCGGAAGTGTGTTACAGCTGAACGATTATTATTTGTTGTCGAGTAGGAGACAGGGTGCTCGGTTAATGCGTCGCTACATCGCATCTTGTGGAAAACGCAGACAAAGAGTGAGCTTTCGGATGCCTAGTAGGGGGTGTGGAAATTCCAGTCGCTATCAAGGACTGACTCCACTTACACACACACTTCCACACACTTACACACTTACACTGACGTAAGTACTGGGGAAACAGGGGTTGGGAATTCTGCTGGTTAAAATAAAGACGATTGTTTAGCTTCCAGACACTTTCGGTTTCCATGCGATCCGAAGGAAGACAACAGCAGTACGCATGTTACACACCGAGCTAACTTGCTTCAGCATTCGACTGTTACTTCTGAGTTAAAAATTTGAACGTCTTAGGCTCTGGTGAGTGTCCGCCCACACAAAACTTGCTTTGGCAAAATTATGCATTCTCAGTGATGGTCAGCCGATGAGTGCCCGTTCTAGGCCTCACGAGGACGGCAGCAGTGGACAAAGCACTGGAGTTTCGTAACGATGACGAACAACAGGTTACTCTACAAACCATCTAGTTTAATTTGCCGACGACTATTGCGTGGCTGAACAAAGTGGAGAACAAAGATGGTCCCAGTGGAAATGAACTGAACTGCCCCCAACTTGATCACCATATTACTACAACAATTGATAGACCATTCAATAGGTTTGAGTTGTTCTGACGCAATTGAACAAATCAAATTAAATTGATTGAAATCAAACAAACTTTGATCAAGCTTGGGAAAGGATTGAAAAATGATTCTAAAAAAACGCTCTCGTAAAAATTGAGTATCTCTGGACCTGTTCAAGAAGTGCTAATCTCCTTAAGAGAGGATTTCATATAAGAGGAAAGATCTAAACAACCAACTGAGCCCAAATCCAGTGGATGATCCAGGGAGTTTCTGTTTGAGTGAAAAAGTGGACAGTAACACCAATCATGTGACAAAGTAAACCATTTTACACATCGGTCTCCAACCACAGGTAATTACATCAGATCGAGTGGAACGACCATTCGAGATTTTCAATCGCTGTGTGTAGGTTGTGTGGCAGCATCACTGAAAGTCAGTCGTTGGAGTCGAACTAAGACCGTTGGTACATGCCAACAATCGTCTCGTCGTACAGCCTAAATGTACTTTTCCACCTGGTAAGCAGATATCAAAACCGATGTGGCAAAACGTAGCTATCAGCATTGTCAAGTGACATTGGTGCTTATCCGGACAGCAAGCACTAAGAACTAAGCTTATATTGATGAACCTTGAGTAGCTCGTTCCATGCGTCTTCAGCTCTTGAATGTTTTAAGATCATCAGTTTACTAAAACACCCTTACCGTCCATGTTAACACACCCAGATGCAAACAACTTCTGTGTACTAATTCTCTTGGTTACTACGTGCTAATCACCTGTCACTGGAGCTTTCAATTACCTTTCTGCCGTGTGGTTGGTACCACAAACTACTTCAATGCCTTGCAAAAACACGTGGCTACACTGTCAATTCGGTTCCACAGCGGAGCTTTCCAGAATTCCCATATTTGTCCGGATACATTCCGAGTCATCGAGCTAAGTATGCACGACCGTCAAGCTCGATAATGTCAACAGACCAGTTTTACCTTACATCGCATTGGTTTGTGACCCGGTGATATGGGATCGTCCGCCTGAACAAAGGTCACTCACGGGGAAGAGAAAACATATTCATTGATCAGCTATATGGGCAGTAATGTCGGCATTAATGCAATGAAACGCTCAATGTCGTAAACTACCGTCATACCACGCCCTCGATACAAGGACTGGTTTTAATGTTCACGAACATAGCCACCATGGGAAAAGTTTGGGGAAACTATGTTAGGACGTCATCACTCCCAAAACGACAAGTTGGGTTCTTTTTTTAAATTATTCTTAGAGGACTACACTCCCTGAACACCGTCAAAAAGCACTTAGATGTAGAGGCCAAGGAAGCCCTAAACTTTGAAGGAATGTTCACATGGAGAGGTTGTTACACCCGATCAGAACCGAATATCCAACACCGATATGATTTCGAATACTAATTGGGGCGAGATATCCAAGGCTGTAAATAGCATCGGAACCCTCTAGCACCTGCGGTACAGGTAAACCAGTTTCTTCCAAATGTTAGAGAAATGTTTGCCAGGAATGTGGCCTTTCTGGAGGTCCGAAGACATTCCCTCCGGTTGAAAAGACAACCAAAATTGATGCACCATGAGACGGCAAGTAGGGTTGGGTGCCCGCGCAGACTGGGATGCTTGGTGGAACTGGAAGTTCCAAGAAATGGAAAGAGCGAGAAACTCTAGAAATGCCCACAATGTTTTAATGGATGGTTTTCTTCAGCAGGTCTTCGGAAGCCTCTTGTCCATGAAAAGACCACATGGGACCAGAATGGTCCTCTGATATCCAATGAAGAACGTTTGGACCGCTGGACAGAATAGCTACAGCAAGAACTGATAACAAGATTGGTTAATTCCCCCCTGGGTGGGAAAGTAAGGATATGGAATCCAATGTTGGCCTTAGGAGTATACGAGCGTATACGAGTTCACCCAGGAGAGTGAACAACTCACACCAGACGAAGTGACAGGTAAAATCCTGTTGGATGATTAAAACGTGGTAATCCTTTTTGATAAGAAAAATCATTCAGAAGCACTTACACTTCTCCCTACTTCTGAACCTCTGAACATTTGAGGACTTGGACCAAAACGAAGCCAGAATGAAACAAGGTGATGGAAACCTTTCTATGGACCATTCTCGAGTTAAACGATTAAGAAATAAAAGTACTGTCAGTATCAAGCGAAAAATATTGATCGCTAACGCCGAAGACTTGGACCAAAACGAAGGCAGAATGAAACAAGGTGATGGAAATCTTTCTATGGACCATTCTCGAGTTATACGATCAAGAAATAAAAGTACTGTCACTATCAAGCGAAAAATATTGATCGCTAACGCTTTTTTCGATTCGAAGTCCCGTAATTCCGAGATGAAATTTCCCTGCATAAACCACCTTTTTGAGCCATACTACTCCAACTCAATCCCCCGATCATTCTGTTTCTAAGACAGCCTCGATCTTATCGGCATGAGACAAACAGTCACGTGATACAGCCATTTTATAAATGTCAGGTTTAACAAACTGACTGCATGGCTGGAAATCAGACCAGTTCACAAGGGTCGGAGATGAAACCCTCATTCACTTAAATTGTGGGTGGTTTGTTTCCCCTCGGATATTACTCGATCGAGTGATTTTTTCTGGCATGAGAAGCTCGCACTACGATAGATTAGTCCAGAAATTTTGTTACCCCAGGAGTGTTTCGTAGAATTGGGGGAGGCTAAATTCATAATGTTAAAAAGTTAGTAATCGTCTAAATTGTTACTTTCTCTAACGTGTCTCCTAAACGGAGGCTGTGTTCACATGAACTTCTTGACATGGGAGCGAGATGACCAAAGTGGTTAGAGCGCGAATTTACTGACCACAAGGTCCGTGGTTCGAACCCGGCCTCTGCCTCTCGACTTCCCCTGTCTAGGCTTGGGAAACTTGGCAGTATCCCAGCCCTCGTGCAACCTTTATGTGGCATGGCAGCTAGGCACCGAAAGGGTGCTACAGCTGAACGATGTGACTTGACCCGGGTTGATGAGTAATGTGGAATCACAATGAGTGCCCTTCTTGGTAGATGGCTTAGTTCTTTCATGACGTTTTTTTGTGTGTGGGGGGGGGGGCAGGTATGATAATCTCAAGATTTCAGCGTCAAGACATATGCGTGTGCAAACCATTAGGAAAGCAAGGTAAGTGTGAACGATTCGAATTAAACAAAACAAATGAGGCAGGTGCTCCACGCAATGAAAGCTCCAAAAAATCGAAGTGAGACGGAAACTGTGGAGGGCCAAACTAGACACAGGAAAGTGAAAACCGTTCCACTTCACAATACAAGGCAAACCGTCGAAAAAACGAGAAGCAAACGATACACGACCAACTGTCGTGAATAAGACCGTCCGACGCACCAATTTTCGGTCCTTTAGAACACAAGGACAATATGGAGGAGAACTAAGACTGGATAAACAGACAGACCACCTGGGATAGTTCACGGAAATATTACACAAGGGCAGATTTCGCTGTTGAGCACGTGGGAAAAGGGTGGAAAATCACACAACAGTTAGGAACTACGGAGGCAGAGAGCGAGAAGGACAGTATGGAAGCCTTTCATTGACGATGTGTAGCAGCTGAGAAAGTGGGACCAGACGAATACTGTCCGTCACACGGAATAGGATCTCAGGCAATACGGACGTATACTATAAGGCCGATGTGTAATTGATCAAACTGAGAGCGTGTTCGCCGAGGTCGCTCATCACAGGACGGAAATGAGGAAAAGTTTCTAAAGCGTTCGGTATTAACTCGGAACGTCGGTAGAAAAAATGCAACCAGCGCACCTAGCTAAATGGACAATGTGAGCAAACGGTGACTGACCGTTGAAGGGGAATTGCGGACATTCAGATGTCCGTCGAAGTGTTAACACGTAGCCGATGCGTGGTAATAATGCGTCCAATGAAAAATGCGTTCTCGTCTACTAATATCGATCGGGAAAAATGGAAAATTTCCAGGTGAATATTGTAAATTTTTTACTCCTAATGATACGGCAGATAGATGAGATAAAGAAAACAAAATATAACTGTTCCTTCGGTGAAATAGCACAGAGAAGAATAGTCAGCTTCTCAGGATAGCTCAGTGATTAAGGCGCAAAACGACTGACCGAGAGGTACGTGGTTCTAACCCAACCTCGGTATCTCGACTGCTCCTGTCTAGGCCTAGGGAACCTGGTAATATATCGGCCCTCGTACTTCCTTTGGGTGGCATGGCACCGAAAGGGTGTTACAGCCGAACGATCAATATTTCTTAGTTGCTAATATACTCAGAAGTCGTGTATGGAGTGGAAACCTAAGCTCCACCTTGGCCTATCTAGCCTATGATAGTTCAATACAGCGCTCACAGGGGATGCGGGATGGAAGAGATACCTTAGCTCAAAAACAACAGTACGCTCACTTAAAAATCGGAGCAACTTACTTGGATATGTGGTTTCGAGGCATCCACACAGACGGAAAATATCATAAACGAGAGATTCAGTTGAGTCTCTCGTGAAAACCAAATTGATTTGCAGATGAGTGTATTTCTCGAAAACAGTGCAATTTGGGTTCAAGTAGATCATAAGGTTGACGGAAACTCGGGGACTGCGCCTACCTGATGAGCCCCAAGAAGGGCGAAACCAGTCGTGGGCTGTCGAAGAGTTTTCAGCAACCTTGTGAGTAGTTTACTTTATGAAAACCTAGCACTGTTCCAGGAGGTTCATTTGAACAGACTGGTCATTCCTTAACAGGACCAAAATGAACATGTTTGCCTGCTGAACAGTGTTCATCTGTCCGAACAAAACGAACACGTGAGCAGCTGAATTATGCAAATTACAGACACGTGACGCCCATCGCGATTGAATGCTGTCAGAGTCAGTGTAAAAGCAGCATGAATGTCATTCACTGACGGGAGTTTCCAACCTTCGGTGACATTCGTATGGTGTTGGTTTTGTGGCATTCAAGGGGAAAGTACATGGGTGTAAAACCAATTATAGATTGGGAATGGGAGCAAGTTGATCTGCTCCATAAGTTCATTTTACTTTAGGCGAAATGGCATCGCAGTGAAAACACCAGTGGGTGGAACAGTTTGACGTAATTGTAACGCACTCACGTTGATTTCGGGGTTCCTGTATAGCTGGAGCAAGTGATTCTTCGTTCGAAACATGCTGTCTACAATGAACGAACATGAATGATATTTTCTGGACACATTCTGTTACGACTTTGCTTGTTCTGCGTGTAAATTTTTCCTCATGCCGTATTGCTGGAAAGACGAAGTTTCTAGGCTGGCTAGTTTTGTACTGTTCACTGATTGTCTGTGTGTCTCATTGAAAGATTGTTTGGCTGGTGCTGAGGCTACCATAATCAGTGTACTTGTGGACTCAGACTACACGGAGTGATCTCCAAAAACAACTCACTCGTTAATCCCGGTGAGTCCGAAATTCGGTTTACCACAAGGAAGCTTTCATCCTTTCTGTCCCTGAAAGGAAGGCTACTTGTACCTTTTTGGTATCCTCTCTTCAAACTGTGCCAATCGCGAACGCACCCAACAGTTGGCGCTTTTATTACTTGGCGGGACTTGCACGACGATGCATCCATGACTTGCCCAATCACAGTTGCGCAAGTGGATAAGATAAAAAAGATAATCGTTCAGCTATAACACTCCTTCAGTGCTTAGCTGCCACGCCACCCGAAGGAAGCAAGAAGGATGGGATACTGTCAAGTTGGCCAAGCCTAGACAGGGGAAGTCGAGAGCAGAAGTCGGGTTCGAACCACGGACTTTCCAGTCGCGCAAGTACAATAGCTACTTCGAAATTCAAATTACAAAACTACTCATGGAGAACAAAAACCCCACTCTCACATCACAGTCAACAGCATCAAACTAAACCTCATTTCACGGGGCACTATATCTATACGGTCTTCAATATATCCATTTGCCTGTTATTAATTGTGAACGAGCTAGTGGGAAGATCGCTGTTTGAGTTAACAGACAAGTCAGTGATAAGTTAATTGAAGTCGCAGCTGTTGGTAAAAAACACGGTATTTTGGAGGTGAACTACAAAACCCCTCTCCAGTAAGACCACATAAAAAAATATAAATTAGATCGTGGTAAGGAGATGGTCGTGAGAGAAAGGCAGAAACTAGTCTTACGGCAGTGTATGAAAGCCTAATTTTCTGACACTAAGGCAATGTTTGTTCAGCTTTAAGCCTTGGCGTGACTGTCAGTACAACTCACCAAAACATTTCCGATTCCAATGGACTTGTAACACCTCGTCCGAGATTCGAGACTTTATTGTGTACATAACTAACATCCAATTTACCACAAAGCTGTAACACGCAGGGAACATCAATATCCTTGCAAGTATGAAGTCGTAAAATGTCAGACGTAATTAGATCACGTGCTTGCGAACTATTTTTATCTGCGACGTGCTAATTCCTGGTCCTAGTTCATGGATTATGGATACGCTGCACAAGGGCTCGCCTGTTTTTGGTTCTCGCAATCTTTTTCCTCATGACATGAAAGTGTATTGTGATAAAAATCCATTCCATGCGGGTCTGTCAGCTGCTAATGTGCACACGAAGTTACGTTGAACATGTGCGCGGGAACTCAAACCGTTATCTGGCTGCACGCTCTGTGTGATGGTTCCGTTCGAGTGCCGTGTGAGGCCAACCGTACTTGCATGTAGTTGGACTGTTCAGTCTAAAGGTCCAAAGGTTTTGGCGCTAACTGATGTGAAAAGCGATGGTCGCTGGTATGCTTTCTAAGGTGCGCAACTCGATCGTAAACGCCCCATCATCAGGCACGACGATATCAACGTGTGCATGAGTGAGTTTTCAATCCTTCATCGGCTTGCCGTTGAAATTTTCCAAAAGAATTAGAAACATCTACCGAGCAAGACGAATGACATCAAAACAGTCCCACGAGGCCGAAAATTGTCTGACAACCGATGAATACGCAACTAAGTGAGGGGTTTCGGTATCATTATTCATTTCTGCCTGTGAATTCAAGTTGTTATAGTGGACTGAGGCAGTGTTGCAGCTTGACAACAAGCCGTGAAGAAAGATCACTGGATGAGCACTAATCACGCTTTAAACAGATCAATTTTACCTCAGGATCATTTCGTTGTGTGTTGTTTGCGTGACCAAACAGCCTAACCGAAATGCGATAGGAGCACTTGCGTGTGGTCTACAAGCCTGCAGTGACGAGCGAAATGTTGTGCCTGACGTTTGCTTTAACTTGACCTAAGGCGCGAGAAGATACACGTGTCCGTAACTCAAGGTCTTAAGTACACGTTACCGTGGGCTATTCGCACGGCTGTTGAGTGAGGTACCAACGACGTAGTAATATCGGATGATCGGCACTCGAGTGTTGCGGAAGAAGGTAACAGTCCCGCGGAGTGGAGCAACCACCACAATACACCTCTAAGGGGCGAGATGGTTCAGTGGTTACTGACTGGAAGGTCCATAGTTCGAACCCGACCTCTGCCTCTCGACTTCCCCTATCTAGGCTTGAGTAGCCTGGCAATATCCCAGTCCTCGTGGTTCCTTCGGGTGGCATGGCAGTTGGGCACCGAAAGGATGATACAGCTGAACGATTTTTTCCAGGACAGTCAAAACGTACACGGAGGACCGAAATAAGTGAAGCCCGAAAAAGAATTGTTCTTTCCTTTGAAGGAAAATCTACTCGAAAAAACCAAGTGGAAGGCCGAAAGGACGTTGCGAAGCAGCCGATAATTTGATCTAGGGAAAATGAAGTCACGCGTCTTGGGGTACGTGGGGCTCAACGGCGTATTAAGTTGGTTAACAATAGCCAGAAAACTACGAAAAACTCCTTCGTGTTCATAAGGAAAACTGAATTTTCTGATTCACAAGAGGGCAGTAAAGCTTAGATTTCACAGCCATTGGCTCGTAAGACTTCATAAAAATGTGTTCAACTTATCGTACCGTTTTTTATAAAAAATTCCCGTTTCACCTACATTCCGTACATTAGATAAAAAAAGGAACGAGACGAAGTAATTGTTCGCGTCAATCAGGATGTGCATTCATTGATGCACATCATCCTAAAAGGTAGGAG